AGACTGTTAAAAAAGAGAGGATAATCTTTGAAAACTCCTTTTTGATTTCTAGGGTTTGTTATCGAAAGAAAGCCAGAGCCGTTGAAAAGAGGAGGGAAGATCGGATGGCTACACAAGGGCAGGCGGCGATGGACCCTGCCGTCCTAGATGACATAATCAGACGGTTAACAGAAGTCCGATCAGCCAGACCGGGCAAGCAAGTTCAGCTATCGGAGGCTGAGATCAAGCAACTCTGTGTTGCTTCTCGTGATATTTTTCTTCAACAACCTGTTCTGCTTGAGCTTGAAGCCCCCATCAAGATATGCGGTCCTCTAAATTACCCTAATTTTTCTATTTTTTCTGTGTTTTTCTGCTGGGTTTTGTGGTATTTTCTTGATGGGTTACTTTTCTTTTTATACGCGATTGGAAGTGGAGGAGGCTGTTTTAAGAAAAGGGTACTTCAGGTTTTGTGTGTTTTTATTTAATTTCCTGGCTTCTTTTCGTTATTGCAATCTGTCATGTTCCTTTTACGGATGCTTGAGTAAATTTTTTCTTGGGTTACTGAGTAATGCTGTTATCGAGTTGTGAAAAACGGAATGCTTATAAAACCTTAAAATCCTCTACTGCTGAATGAAATTGGGTTTTGTGTTTATAACCTTTTGAGTTTCGACAAAACTGGAGCTGGCGATTTTCGTTATGTAAACAAGTTTAGCTGTAAATTTGGCCCCGTTTGTTTTTTATTTGTCAATGTAACATGATTCATGCTAAAAAAATCAAGTATATTATCAAACTCAAAGGCATTCCATGGATTTGAGAAATAATTGGCATTTGAAATAATCAAAGACCGATATTCAACTTATAGTATGTAGCTAATATATAGCTCGGAGGGTAGACCATTGCCGTGGCTGAATATTTGATTTCTGTGTTGCCCTGCTGCAGCCTGGATTTGTTCCATCTGACATTGTCAAGATTTTCTTTGTGTTTCAGGTGACATTCATGGGCAATATAGTGATTTATTGAGACTTTTCGAGTATGGTGGTTTTCCTCCTGGAGCAAATTATCTTTTTTTGGGGGACTATGTTGATCGAGGAAAGCAAAGTTTGGAAACTATATGCCTTTTGCTTGCCTATAAGATTAAATATCCAGAGAACTTCTTTCTCCTAAGAGGAAACCATGAATGTGCTTCTATTAATCGGATATATGGATTTTATGATGAATGTAAGCGGCGGTTTAATGTAAGGCTATGGAAATCCTTCACTGACAGTTTCAACTGCCTTCCTGTTGCTGCTTTGATAGATGACAAAATTTTGTGCATGCATGGCGGTCTTTCCCCTGATTTGACAAATTTGGATCAAATTAGAAACTTGCCCCGCCCAACTGCTGTTCCAGATACCGGTTTGCTGTGTGATTTACTCTGGTCAGATCCTGGTAGAGATGTTAAGGGATGGGGAATGAATGATAGAGGAGTTTCTTATACCTTTGGTCCTGATAAGGTGCAAGAATTCTTGACAAAGCATGATTTAGACCTTGTCTGTCGTGCACATCAGGTTGTTAACTTTTTCCTCAGCTAGCCTATTCTCTTTTAGTAACTCATGCCTCTCTTTCTGGACACTTAAGTGATTTTATTTTTTCGTTTTGTTTTGGTCTAGGTTGTGGAAGATGGGTATGAATTCTTTGCCGACAGGCAACTTGTTACCATATTTTCAGCCCCCAACTACTGTGGTGAATTTGACAATGCTGGTGCTATGATGAGTGTTGATGAAAATTTGATGTGCTCCTTTCAAATTTTAAAGCCTGCTGAGAAAAAAGCAAAGTTCATGATGTCAAACAAAATGTGATGGCTGCAAATTATTGGTCCCTGGTCTCACCCAAGGTCAGCTCAATACAATTGCTTTTTTATGATTTGACATGGATATCATTATGATTATGCATGTTTCTGGCTTGTTGCTATCCCAGCTGTTCTGTTGTGGTTGGTAATTTTGTGGATTTCCTTTCCCGAGTTTAATGAATTCCATTCATATGATATGAAAAATGAAATCAATTGAAAGTTGCCAATTTTATATTCATAGAAACAGGCAAAGCTCTAGAAAGGCTCTTTTCCTTTGCAAAACTAATTATGATGCATTCATACATAAAAACACACCCTCGAACGTATCCTTGTATATTCAGTCAGTACACATTTCGCTCATGTTTTAACCTCCAGGGTAGTATCTAAATTTTTGGTATTTAATCAACCATTCTGCCCTATCTTCCATCTTTTACACTGATTTTTTCCCTCTGTTGTGGCTGGGAAACTGGCTAAAATTAAAGGTTTTCAGGTTTGAGTCTGCTAATTCTAGGAGACGCAGGCATGACCCGTGCATTATTTACTGTTTGGTGGGGGCAAAGCTTTCCAAATCATTTTTGGAGGCACATGCTGTGGGGTGTACCAAAAGTCCGAAGGAACTGTTTTTTTCTTTCCTTTTTTTCCCGCATCTAATGTCTTTACTTTTCTCTGTAGTCCGTACTCCTGCGTTTGTGCATATATTTGGCCTGGTAATTATAATTGTGTTTGGGCATCAGAATTGGCCACGTTTAGCTCTATACGTAGCTCTAAGTTTCCTACTCTGTTCACAGATTCGAGTTCATTGCATTTACATCAGGCATATTATCATGTTAAATGCGGGTAGATGTAGCTTGGCCGCCCGTCCATTTTGATCGCCGTATCCAGGGCATATGCTTATATTTAGGATCTGGTCCATTCACCCACTACCATTGAATTACGGAGAAGTCTTTGTAGGAGAGATGGTTCGGATGTTAATAATGGTCCAGTCCAGCGGCTTCTACAGTAGTCGGGGTGGACATTTTCAGAACTTGACATGATGGTCGTGTTTATTTGGGGGTTTGTCACACCCTTGGACTGGACTGGAAGTTGATGGTCCAGTCAAATGATATATAGCTGGCGGTGGTTTTATGTTCTCGCACAGCCTAGATGGCAGGAGCCATATTTACAAAGGTATCTACCGGCTTAAATGGAACAGCAATTTTGGGCAAAAGATTCCGGAGGAGACGTGACAAATGTCCTCTATCGTTGAGGATTTTGCTTCTCTGATTTTATTTTATACGAGTTGGACCCTATTCTATTAGCTCTCTGCACGAATGGGCTGATTCCGGGCCTTTCAAGATCATTCCTCAAATTAACGATCGAAATTTCTGAACTCAGTTCTTCCAAGTATTTTAGCAAAGCCTTAACAATAAGAACAGTATTTAGTAGGAGGTGTTGGAGAGAAGGGGGATTGGTTTTAAAAATGTTTTTTAGTTAGAAAATATATTAAAATAATATATTTTTTATTTTTTAAATATTATTTTGATCAGGACTTAAAAATGCTAAAAAAATTAAAAAAATATTTCTTTTTAAAAAAATACTTTTAGAACGTGAAAATATAACATTTAATTTGACCAAACTCCGGGAATAACTAATGGTTTCTTGAAACAAGAACGCACAATTTATAATAAAAAACTCACCACATCTCAAATTAGATCAAGTTCTCACGCCGACTCTGTAATTGCTAATATTGGCTAAGTTCTATTTGGCCATTCTAGGAGCAACTGTTCATGGCTATTATGGGGAAATCCTTTATGAAGGAGATACATCAGGTATATTTATATATAAAAAAATCTAGTTATATAACACAGGGTCTTTTAAAAGTAAAACAAGTGTTGGAAGTGTGTTTGATTGATTCAATATTGATAAACTTAGAAAAAAAAGTGGAGAATTGAGACGAGTGTACAGCAAGAATTGTTGGAATTCATTGTAGATTCTTGATTGGTGCTGAGTTAATCATAATATAAATTCGTAATTTCTTGGTTAATAAGATTCAAAAAGTTTATCGATCTCAAGGGGTACAAATCCAGAAGAGACATAGAAATTATTACGGTACGGGTTCGCCTGGTTTAGCAATTGCAGTACCCTCGAGAGAACGACAAATCTTGTACAAGCAGCCATGAATGATTATCTTCAACAAGCATTTGCTCATGCAAAGATAAAATGCTTTTCCAATCTGGTAAAAAAAAATCAGGTTGCTAATTGACCAAGCAGTAAAAAGAGTGAAGACATTGGCGCAAATAATCAGATGTAAGCACGAGTAGGAGCAGTGGCCTAGTCCCAACTCCAAGTAGTCGTCGGGATTTAAGCCAGCAAAATCAAAAAGGCAAGCGCCGCCACCCACTTCAAATAAAAAACCCGCCCAAGAGAGGATATATATATATATATATATATACACACCTCCCCTCTTTTATTCAAATTCTTAACGGCCCCTCCACTCATCTCCTCTCCTCTCCTCTCCTCCTTTCGAAACTTAATGCCATAGTGGTTGGTTTGTCTTCCTTTTTCCAGACACCAAATTTACAATAATTCTACAGATAGAGGAAGATCCTCCATTTCCCAAATTTCTCTCCCTACCGCCATTTTATTTATTTATTATTATTTAGCTCTCTTAAAATTCTTAAAGATTTGAGAGATGATCAACTTGGCGGACCCATCAATGTCGTTGCTGGCGGCGAGTGGTGGCGACACCGTGAAGCTTTTCGATGTATCAGTGGAGACAGGAGATCCATGCACTTTGAATTACACACCAACTCCGGGTTGCGTTGTTAACTCAGTCAAGTGGAATCATACTAGTGAGTCAATCACTCGCCCCCTCTTTACTCTCTCTTTATTTCATTTACCTTTAAAAGTGCCTTTTTTTTCGGTTAGTTGTAGAGTTTTTTCTTCGCTTGAATCTGCATTTCCCGGTTTTTGGATTAATTAGGGTTTGTTTGGCTTTTTTTTTTAACGCAATTTTGATTTAGTGCTTAATTAAATAAAATTCCTAGTTTGGTACTACAATTTTGAGCAAGCAGAGTTTGATTTAATTTTGGTGTTCTGTTTTTGCAGATTTAGTTGTGGCTAGTGCTGGAGAAGATAAGAAGATTTCGTTGTGGAGGAAAAATGGGCAGAACATGGGGACACTTCCGGTTTCTGGGACGGATAGCGGGGACAGCATTGAGGTAATTCTTGTCGAAGTCTATTGATTCATTAAATTACAAATTACAAATTCTTACAAGTTTGGAGCATCAAATTGTTAAAAACTGTGTTTGTGGTGGATTGGATGGATGGTACTTGAAAAGAAAAAAAAGAAATGGGATCTAAAAGTTCGTCTTCTATGTATCAATATGCATTTGTGCTCAACCTAAACTTTACCTGCGACCTCTTGTTACCCAACTTCAAGCGTGTTCCACACCCCCCCCCCCCTAAATAATCTCTTGTTACCCAACTTCAAGCGTGTTCCCCCCCCCCCCCCCCCCTAAATAATGCATGAGAAAATTTGAAGGTGGTATACTCTTGAACTGGTGGAACAAAGATTTGATAATGTAATTTTGTTTCTTTCTTTCCAAAAACCTCCATTGAAGATACAAAGAAGCATTTTGTTTCATAAGATTACTTTTGTGTGCTTCAAGCATCAAAGTTGTCAACCTGTTTGGGACTTGAATGGAGAAAAGGCATGCTCAGATCAATGAGGGAGACCAGGTTTCCTTATATTCCTTGATCTTTTGCATTCTGCAAAATACAATCTTCCACAGGCACCCTGTATCACATCACTTGCATGCTTGTTTGTAGTAAAACCTTTTTTAAAGAATTCCTCGTGTGGAATTTTTTTGTTACATTTCGAAACACTATGCATCCATTTTATTTGTTTTTCTTGTTGCCATGGTAACTTGATTTACACTGTCACGAGGGGGATTCTTTTTGGTCTGCTACAACAAGTCATTGTTGGATATATTTTTATAATTTGTAGGAATCTTTATCAGCTATTAGCTTTAGTAACAAGGGATCTAGATATATATGCTCTGGAGGAAGCGGTCAAGTAGTAAGAATATGGGATCTGCAGAGGAAGCGCTGTATTAAATGGTTGAGAGGTCATACCAGTACAATAACAGGTGCTATGTACAATTGCAAAGATGAGCACCTGGCTTCCATAAGTTTGAGTGGGGATCTTATCCTTCACAACCTTGCATCTGGTGCAAGGGCGACAGAACTCAAGGACCCACACGAACAGGTTGTTTGCTCTTCCACATTTGATGCTATCCTTCTAGTATTTGTTATGTGTAACCTTCTTTCCGGCTAATTGTTCATCTAATGGAATTTAAGACCAGGTACTAAGGGTTCTTGATTATTCACAAGTTAGCCGACACCTTTTAGTGACCGCAGGTGATGATGGTTCTGTACATTTGTGGGATATAACCAGTCGCAGCCCAAAGGTTCATATATATGAGTACTGGTAGTTTGGGTCACAAGTAACAAATATGGCTGAGTAAGTTTATGCTGCAGTGAGATTTTCATATCTAATGAAGTTAAAACATGTTTATGCTCATTTTCCCATTTATCAGGTTCTAACTATGTGCTTTGCATATATGATCTTAGCACACCGTGAGGCTTTTGTGTGACCAATTTTTGTTTCATCACTCCTATTTTTCTCCAGATCCTATTTATTTTTCCCTATAAGCTTGTTTCCTGTAGTATTATGCCCTACTTTTTCAACATTGCAAATAATGTTTTTGGCATGTAACTGATTGCATTTCCTTTTTACAGGTTTCATGGTTGAAACAACATTCTGCTCCAACTGTTGGTATTAGCTTCTCACCGTCAAATGACAAGGTCCCCTGTTTATTTTATTTTGTTGGATTGGTATCCCCTTTCCCTTTTCCCCTCATCATACAAGAAAGAGACTAAACTTTCTAAATGCTTTTGAAACAAATTAAGGGCTGAAGTTTCGGTAAAATTTGTTATCTATTCTTCATTATCAAATGCCTTTTCCCATTGCAGATAATAGCTAGTGTTGGACTGGATAAAAAACTATACACTTATGAATCAGGGTCTAGAAGGCACACATCTCTCATTTCTTATGAGGCGCCTTTTTCTTCGCTGGCTTTTAGAGATGATGGTTTGATTCTGGCAGCTGGAACCTGTAGTGGGAGGGTGGTGTTCTATGATGTTCGAGGAAATCCACAGCCTTTTACCATTCTCCATGCTTATGGCTGTTCAGAGGTGGATTTTTCTTCATGGTATCCATGTTTGAATATTTCCTACGGTCTTTCTGCAGTTTCTTATCAGCCTATAAACTGTTTTATGTGACCACAATAAATATTGTGAAATATGTTATTTTGGATCTCCTGCTTGAACTTGAAAACTTCCACATGTTCCAAAACACAACCTAACCAGCACAGTTCTGTGCAGAAATTAATAGAGTAGTAACAAATATTAGGCAGAAAGAGATGTAAACGGGATTCTATAACATTATTAGAGTTACAAATATGAGAAATCCACCAATGGCTGTTAACATCTCTTGATTTTAGTAAATGAGCTTATCAAGATTGGTTCTTTACATTGGCCTGGATAACCTGTGAACCTGTTGTTCCATGTGTTCCTATCCTCTTTCCTATTAGGATGACTTAATTGATGTGCCACTTAATGGATGATACTGTAGAGAGAAATCAATTAGATTAGTGTTACAACAGTGTGTGCCAGATTCAATTTTCCTGTTAGATAAAACAGTTGGTTAAAAATGTGAAGGGATGATAAAAAAAGAAGATAGTGCCCCATTTACATGGACAGCTAGAGATGTCTATTTTTGGTATACCATCTGAGAGCTTTGAGTGAATAGTGGTCCAGGTTTCAGAAATCTCATCACTAATATCGTTTCACAAATTAAAAGGTATAATGACCTTAATTCTTAATTCTTGTAGTTTTGCGTGATGCTAACTAAATTATATTTCTCATCAGGCTGTTACAAGTTTATGCTGGCAAAGATCAAAACCAGTCATTGTAAATGAGAGCAACTGCACTCCTGAGATAGCTCTTATGGGAGGCGCTGTTGATGATTCCATTCTTATGCCAGATCCTCTTCCTTTTGTAACATCATCTAGTGTTGCTCTATCCACCTCAGTATCTGGCTCTGGTAATACTTGTCGTTCAGGTTTCTCAATAGAATCATCATCTCTAACAGCAACCACTAGTGGACCTGCATCAACCATGTCCAATCTGACTTTAGCAGAGGAAACACCACATCGAAGCCATCTTTGGCCTGGAACATTGATGAAATTAAATCCTCGTTCTAGTTACAATTTCAAGGATGAAATGGAGGTGTTTTCCCCGCTTGTGGATGTTCAGCCTATCACTCCCTCACTTGATAAGTTTTGGGATGATCAGGAGAGATTGAAAAAGGATAATCTATCTGTTGATAAGAAACCTTCATCATTGCTGTTTCCTTCATCCAGTAGGAGATTTCCTTTTCAAGAGGATGGGACCAATGATCATCCCATATTTGATTGGAAATCCAGTTTAACCTCAAGGTAGGTCTGACAGTTGTTATTCCAGAGGATATTTGCAATATGCATATATAATTCTTTCATTAATAATGGAGAAGAGAAGATGTATGCAATGCATGAAATATTTATTATTTTTGCCTGTGTTTGTATTTTAACTAATTTTTATGACCTTTCAATTTGATGGGATTAGACTAGTGAGCTTTATACTTCCTTTGTTTCATGTACACTGGAAAATTTTAGCATATGCTCCTTCCATTATGCTGAATATTTGGAGCATTAATGAGTTATTTCACCAAAATCAACTGCTCAACTATATTTTTTCTACTACATGATACTAAAGTTACTCCACAAGTCCCGGTACTTTCAGAGTTTTTAAAATTAAAATACTTTTTTGACTATTGAACTTGGCTTTCTTCAGTGAAGCATGCTTTCCTTGCTCTCTGTCAGTCAATATTGTTATAACATGGTTGTCGGTTGATAATCTTAAATGTTTTGTTAAGTAATTTTTTGTATTTCCTGTATACAGTTGAACTTAATTTCTGATTCCCCAGTGCACATGATTTGGGGTATTCAATATCTCCATAGACGTGACATGATGTTTCTTTCCTGTTCTTTGGCAGGATGAGGCCCGGTCTTTCACCTTACCAGGGGGATCTACTCCATCTCCATCTTCCAAGAGTGAAGATTCCTCCATCACTCCTCCAGAAGCTTGGGGTGGTGAGAGACTATATGATAGTATTGCTCATCCACGCCAGCCACTAAATTTACCATCTCGATTTGCGATGACTTCTGGGAGTTCAACATTAGGATCAATGTTTTCTAGTTTGCAAGATCTGCCTTCTTCAACAAGTCAGACAGTTACGAGCTCATTGACTAATTCCAGCTGCAGCTTTTCAAATCTGCACAACAGAGATGTCTCTTTGAATCAGGAGACTTCAATGGGATTTCCAGAACAAATTTCCTCCAGTTCCATGTCTCTGTCATTAGGTACAAAACACATCACGGGACTAGCTAGCCTTGAAGCATCTGAACTAGCATCATTAAACCAGCCTCACAGGTTTTCAACTTTTGCCGAGAGAAAAAGCACTACTGCTTCCTTCAGTGATGGGACATCCCTCACAGTGGTTTCATTAAACACAAAGAAAACAGGAGTTGAAACTAGGGAAGATCTGTTGAATAGCATATTGTCGAGGCCTGATGCATTGGCGGTCACAGAACCAGGAATTCTTTCAGAAATGAACGTAAGATCACTAGGTGGCTTCAATTAATTTTTTCCTGCGGCTTCTAAGTACTTGGGTGTTTCCTTTTGGAATCCCAAGGTAGCTTATCATGACAGATGCCTTCAATATTGTGGTTTGAATTACAAGCACGGGCCCCATTTTGTGACTGATGCAAATTGTTGCCATCAACTTAAATACAGAACAGTGAAGGAACTTGTGATACTAGAACATTATTGACACATATTAGCTTTGTTTTCTCTATCTGATTATCAAGGCTCGTTAATTTGAAAAATATAATGGCAGGGAGGAGCTACACAGCCACACAAAATCCTTCAGCCATATACACAGCAGGGGAGTTCGTTCACGCTTCAGCTCTTCCAGCGTACTCTTGAAGAAACTCTTGATTCATTTCAGAAATCCATACATGAGGATATGAGGAGCCTTCATATAGAAATTCTTAGACAATTTCAAATGCAGGAGGTATGTATGCAGCACTTATAGTTTCTTTTTCCCTTTTGTTGTTTTTGTATATGTAATTAATTGTGCATCGTCGAACAGATGGAATTATCCGGTGTGATGAACTCAATCCTAGAAAATCAAGCTGAACTGATGAAAGAAATCAAGTCTCTTGGGAAAGAAAACTAAGAGCTCCGTAAATTGCTTTGAGCTCCGGTGAAGATGGGATTGTGATTCGTGACTGTTTGTTGAAGGGTTAGGGGATCCGAATGTTCATTTCCATCCTTTGCAATTCATTTTGGCTTATTTTATACGGAACTTCCCTCAGCAATTGCGGTGGAGGTGTAAAAGAAGGGGAAACTATTGAAGAAGCAGAGAAAACAGCGTGTCATAGCGGATAGGGTTTTTGCCTCAATAACGTGCATTAAAAATTTTTGAGCTAATGAAAGAAGCTTTTCAGTGGATTCTCTCTATCTTGATCATGCAGCAATGAGTCTTACTATTACTGCTGAAAGGAAACGAATCACGTATTACGACTTGTGATGCCAAGGGCACCACCGTATGTTTATTAACCTGCTAAAAGAGAAGAGTTGCTCACCATGTCATTATTGCTTCAGCTCCTCTACTCCTCGAATTGCCTTGTTAAAATCCAGCACCTCTACTCCTCGAATTCTGTTTACAAATTCTTGTCTCAGCACCGAGTTTTAGTTCTTGGAGAGCTGTGATGAATATCAGCCCCAAGACTACTGTTTTTAAACCTGGTTAAAGCCGGTCTTGAGTTTTGACTGAGTTATTTGGATTGATCTTAATTTTTTTATAAATTAAAATGATATTATTTTGGTTAAAAAATTAAATAATTAACGTGTTACAATCAATTTTTTGATTGGATATTGCTAGATTATCAGGTAAGCTGAGTTTTTTGCTTTCTCTATTTTTTCATAAACCTCCTTTAAATAAAATAAACAAGAAATTCTACAATTAATTCTAGAAACATGAAAATTAAAGAAAGAAAGAAAAAAAGCATAAAGTCCTAATTTTTATACTAGAGTAATTTGTGTTGATTCTGAAGTTAGGTTCACAAAAAAAAAAAAAAAGAATCTTTGAAATGGGTTTTAATCTTGAAAAATAACTCATGCCGTCTATCTCCATTATCTTCATATTTTGAGTCTCTGTAAATGTTTTGAATTGATATGATTTACATTAATCGAATATCTAAATAAAAAATTATGACCCGTTTTCTTTTATCTATCTTATCCACAAACTCATTCGTTAAACACGAAAAAAAATGCATCAATCTAATGCGGAGTTAAAGCATGCATTAACACTTCGATTTTTAAACTTTTACTACAATATGATTTTAGTTTTCTTGATGGGAGCTCGTTGCACTTATACTAAGTCCTCCGATGCCTGCTATAGAAACAAGTTGAAGTCAATCCTCCACTCTCATCGACAAGCTATCAGACCCCTTGTCATTCTCCAAGTTTATAATATGCTCTTATTCGTCATGTGAAAATGATCTTCTCAACCACAAGTCTGCAAACTAGCCAGGTGCTCATGGAGGTAAACCTGTACGTTAACAAATCTGAGTTTGAACATATTCGATCAGGTTCCTAATTTTATGGAGGTAAAGAGATTTGATGATCATGGAGGTGAAGCTGTTGAAAAATCAACACTCGATGACTCGAAGCTTGAAGAACGAACATGTGTATAACATCCTCAGCATCATAAGCAACATCCTTTATTTTAGCTATCCAGTTGCAACTAGCTCATCTTGTATCTTTTAAGAAACACTTCATATGCTTCGAGCGAGTAAATCTGCAGTGCTTTCATTGACAGCAGAGGCAACAGCCTCAGCCATTTCTATTCAGCAGCTACGAGTGAGAAGCAGTAGTGAAAATTATCTTTGAAAGGACCTTTTTGGCTTCTCCATTGTTTTTCCCTTTCGTGGACTACTATTTCAAGCATGTATTACGTTACCAACATTTGCTTTCTTAAGGAAATGACAGGTTCTTATCTTCGGCATCCTTTTTATTCACACTATCAAAGCATACCAAAGAAAGTCACCTGGCTTCGGGGGGAGAGGGATGGCTAAATTGAAGGTCCTCGCTGTTATTTGAGGAGCTATAAAAATGACAATAAGGCTTCGGCACACGCAGAAAGCATACCTGCGGAAACGCACGGAGTAGCAATGACTGGTTCGTCGAACGTATTATTCAAGCAAATAATAAAAGTGGAAGCTTGATTTGATGATTTCCACCATCCAAGAACCAAAAGCTTCTGATAGCATGTAATTATTTTTCAGGAGTTTGCTGTGTCCTATGTTCTTCAACAAGTTTTCAACGGATTCCTAGCATGAAAAGAGCAGGAAGCATGATACTGGGTGAGGGGATAGTTTTTAAACCCTATCTGCCTGGAGAAATTAATTTAAAAACTCGATGATTTAAGAACTAATCTAATCTAAATTAAATTGAGTTAATTAAAAAAATTATTCAATCAGAATTAAATTTTATGAGCTTCAAATATCAATCCCTTTGTTAATATTTAAGAGCTTCTTTTTCCCTTTTTTTCTCCTTTTTTTTTTTTTTTTTTGGGGGGGGGGGGGGGGGCAAGGGGTATACTTCACAAATAATACACACCATTTTATGAACTTATTAAGATCACAAATGATTTTAATTAAATTTAATGCATGCATATTTAGCGTCACAGAGTTACCTACTAACATATTATTTATTACATAGACTTTAGAACAAATCTTTTTCATCAACAAGTCGCTAGGATTATGAATAGTGCAACTTATTTAAACGAGAAAAACTGAGTTACAGATTTAAATTAGAAAATGTAGAAATACAGAGACTGAATCATTTACTACCTCGCATTTGGTAACTTGTTAGTCCAGTGTCAATGCCAGCACTTCTTAAGCACAAGTTATTGCAACTAGAGGCCCTCAACTTGGTCTTGTGCCTCACATTTTGACTAGCCTCAACACATCACCCACGAGATGTAATGAACCGGTTACAAGGACCTGATGCATAATGGAAGAAAGTTTTAAACAAAAGTTCAAATTTTATAAGAGTAAAGACATGCATCATACATATGAATCTTTTACTATAACCAAAAGGCTACAAATGAAACAGTATCACTTTGTCTAGGTTTTCAGGAAAGTTTGAGTTCACACATTTCCTGTTGATAAAGGCTATTTTCCAGCAAGACATGCAGTGAATCTGTAATTTTCGCAGTAAGAAATGACTGCATTTCTTTTATTCTCCTATGCTAGAGGGAAAAACTTCTGCGAAATAAATTTTACAGGAAAAAGAAATAATGGAGTCCTGACTATCCATCACAATTTTGTAGCCACAAAAACGCAGCCATGGAATGAGATTCTTACAGTATTCATGCATTCTTGTTGCCTCTGAATGATTTTTCAACAGAAAGCTATGCTATTGCAACCCACAGCAGAAATGAAATGACATTTCATGATCTCGTTTTGCAATAGCAAGCATCCGCTTTTGCCATATTATTCAGTATAATAAACACACATGCAGGTTGTAAAATTTAGAACAAGATATACTTTCCAAATCAGCATTACCTGATAGCGAACAGATTGATTCTGTTGGACACTTTCCCTAAGCCATTTAATAGCTAATGGGAGGGAAGGAAAGACTGTGCTATTTTCACAAGTGCTACCACCCATTTTGGTATCATCTTTACCTTCTTCACAAACAGCATCCGCATGCTTGGCCTCCCCTCCTGATAAGTCAAAAGTTCATTTCACATACAATCCAATGTTGGCACGAGAACTGTGTAAGATGCATTAACAGTTTCAAATATGTATAACAAAGACAAAATACTAGGTTTGAACATTTAATTGAGTGATGTGTTTATTGTTCTAAACTGCAAAAACTAATGCAAATACAACAATCAACCAGAGCATTTTCAGAAATTAGAACGACACAAACATGCATTAAACTGGTACCTTTATCACTCTGTATGAGATTCTCCCATACTCTTTGAAGAGCCAACTGCCACGATAAATCAACTTGAGAATCAGTTGGTAATGCATCAGATCCAACCTTGTTATACACGGATGTATTTGGAACAAAGAGCGCCTTCTTGAAGTAGACACCTAAATACCAAAGGAATGTTTATAAGCAGGAGTTTCTTAACAAAACCATCAACATCAAATGAACATTATCTTTCCTCACAATTCCTAATTTACAGTCTTTGACTTCTCCAAAACAAAAAATTGGATGGTTGTGATTGTTACACAATGAATTTAAAATAGCCATGGAAAATTCAAAACAGTGTTGAGTTTAATGTCATTCAAATTTCAACTCTCTCATACTACTTCATTAAGTGGTAACTGTGTTCTAAAAGAGGTCACGAGATCATTAAGTATTTACCATGATTAGCACATGCTTTCATCAGACGAGGGAGAAGCAGCTGAGGATCCCGCACTGACATACAATTGAACACCAATATCTGTAAGATGCATAGAAAACATTAAGTTCACTATTTCAAATTGTAGCTTACATGTCTCTCAAGTACAAATACCAAATTTTTACCCACTGGATCGCATTTAAGCAATGAAAGTTATGATTAAAAACTGCTTCTTCAATGATTTGGGTTATCATAAAGACTAATTGTAATAGGATTCTGAACCCTGCTTCCAAAAGTTGGATGTAAAAATAAAAATTATAAAAGCAAACTTGCACCACAGCACCAGACATCTGATAAATAGAGGAACGTAGTGAACTTCATCCCATCCAGTATGTTATTAGCCACATCTTTTCCATGTGAGAAGCCCTAAGGCTCCTTTGGAAAGCGAAGCACATCAATGCAGACAAAAAACTCACTTATACAGCTCTTATATCGATTCTTCCAGTTAGAGGCACTTTGCCTCAGTGTACTACTGGAATTTGTTGAAATAGATGATTGTGATTTGGGCTTCCCATACCACTTCAGCAACTGCTGAAAGTCTCCCACTTTCCAGCTTGTACTAACAGCGTATATTTTGCAGTTACCCGCCTAATTTTGCAACACCAATACTAGGCAGTAGACTTTGACCCCTCCTAAAACCCTTTCTAAGTTAGCTTCTTATGAGCCAATCTAAATGTAACTTCCACCTTTGCATCTTCATTTTTTTTTAATGTCAAAAATAATGATAAGAAGTTTTAAATCTCTATGCTTACCTGCATGGAAATCTTTCCATCTCTCTCTTGGGGGTTCCCCTGTGCCAATTCAATTGTGGATCCAGAATTGTTCAGTGGGGGGTGATTAAAGGCCTTTTTCTGGCTGTCTTCTTTAATGGCAAGAGAAAACCATCTTGCACACATCTCCATGCTTTCAGGACTATGGGCTCCATCCAAATAAAACACAAGATCTCCATATCTCTCAGCATTAATATAATGATCAGGGACTTTTTGAGCCCGCCCTTGCAAACTGGCTGTTGTAAGCCCCTTAATAAATTGCTCAGGAAGTGGGCTCTATTCCATGCAAATAAATTTAGTAAATAGCTGTGAATGCCTAACAGAGCTTGTAAAGGAAAAACTCATGTATCTAACTTACAGCCTGTTCCAGGTAAGTGAGTTCATGATGCCCGGTCCTTTGAAGCCAAGTAGAAGATAGTGCAATAGCAAGACCAGCATTTAAATACTGGTGCTCACCTTCAAGACCGAGTTTTAAACCATTCAGCAATTTGGCATCTAATGACTCTGCCACTTTAAGGGTTACCTGCAATCAGCATACTTATATCAACCATTTATTTCTTCTATTACAAAACAACAAGATATGGAACAATGAATTTTCTCAGCAAGCTATTATCCCAAACAAGTGGTTGTAAAGACAAATGAAAGGGAAATTCAGAGTTACAAGCTTATCCTTGAATTCTCACCACCAAATTGTTAAATTTGCAACTCCTGACTAACTTAGCCAAAGAATTCATAGCTGCGCAAAAACTAAATATATGGTTTGAGGTAACATAGGCTGGCCAGTAAAGGTTTAGCACTTCAATAGGATTGTTACTTAAGCACCAATGTTATCTTATATAGCATGCACCCGCTTCATGCGAGACTGGGTTTAAGATGAGTTTCCAAGACACCAGTCAGTCCCCACAATTTGGACCCAATATGAGGCAAGCATTTTCCAGTAAAGTGAAAAATAGAACTCCCAGGTGCATGAAATATGCAACTTACATTTAACGTAGAAGCCTTCTCTACAAGCACATTCATTGCTTCATCAGGTTGAGGTACTGTGAAGGCTGGAATTCCATCCTGTATTGGAAAAGGAAAAACTTGAATACGAAGAAAATCACTGATCAAAACACGTATTGTGTTGAGGTTGAGAAACAAATGCATTGCCAAGAGTCTAATGGAAATAGTCCTGAAGAACACCTTAAAAATACCAGCCTTCTCCCCAGCAATTTGTGCCAGAGTATTTCCTGTTTAAGGCATTCAGAAAAGAAAATAGATGAACTTGGTAAATGAAAACCTGGTGGAAAAACAAGTTGAACATTAAATTTTCCTATGTTATTGTTCAAGCTTGGAGCAGTTCCAAGACTTAAAACATCGCATGTTCTCTTGTGCAGGGCATAGCATATGCTGATATGAGGTTTAGTCTTGAAAAGTGTAGTAACTTGTTATGCAGATATGGACTATAATGTAATATGGAAAAACTCTTGCAACAGGACATGTTCTTTTTGAGAGTTACAGTCCACAAGCACTATCGAATGCATCAATAATCAAACAAGTAACAGCTATACACCATTTCACTGTGAGCAATTACCTAACTCAATAGAAACATAACACTAACCAAGAATCTCCATGTGGTCATACCCCAGGGAAGATATACCACACACAATAGGTTTCTGAACCTGAAACATGATGCCAAGTTAGCTCTCTGTTAGAAGTGCATCAAGGGAAGATATTCCTTGCATAAGGAGCTTGACGTGCAACTCAAAGTCAAATTCATCAAATATAAATTATGCATACCACATTTGTTGCATCAAACTTTCCACCTAACCCAACTTCCAAAATAGCTACATCTACCTGCGTAGGAGTGGTCAACAAATGAGATTCCAATCCAACATGAAAGATTAGATTGAGTAATTGTGTGTTTACTCAAACAGAAAGGATATCATCAAGGATACAAAATGTTCACACAAACCTGCTCCGCTGCAAATATCTTGAAGGCAAGTAAAGGAAGAATGCGAAAATAGGTAGGCATTGGTATATCTTCTGTGGCTTTTTCCTGCACAACAGCATATAATGTCAAAATTAAACAAATCAAACAAGCTTGTTATCCAAAAATTACAAAGAAAAAAATGTTCATTAAATGTATTTTTGGACTTTGAACTTGGCACATCACTTTGAAACCACACAAAGGTCCTTTCATCAAACTGCCACTAGGGAAGCACAGCGGGAATTCTGACATTCACCGTCGCAAGGAAATAGCTACAGAAAGCTTCCAGTTTTCATTTTGAATCAATTGTCAGCTGATAATTACCTCTCTATTTATGAGGTGAAAAACCAACTTATCACTCTCATTATAACTGCTGAATCAACGCTTGAAAAACATGCGCAATGAGGAGAGATATAAATTAAGGGGAAAAAAACATGGAGCCACAACAACCTTTAGTCTGTCAAAGCACCACCAGAAATATGCCAAGAATTTCTCTTCACAAATGTCCATACTGCAATAGAAAAGAAGAATGTCTAAACTTAAAACCAAAAGGGTGGGTTTCAAATGCAAAAGATGCACTACACATAGAATAAAGACATTATACAGATTGCTTCGAACGAGTTTGGTTACGGGTGGGCAAGATATTGATTTCATTAACAACAGAGACAATGAAGTGAATTTAGCAAACTTCAACGAGTGGAAATGGCATAAAATTAGAACATTCAGTCTATGAAAGAATCAGAACACATACGATTGTTGATAAATATGAAACTTGAGTCAAACACTAAAACAGAGAAGCAAAAAAAAATTATAAAGCCAATTTATTCTAAGGAGGCAAAAAATCTTGATCAGCTAACTTCACATATAATTGGAAATATGATACTACGGATTTGCGTAACTTACCCATCCAAACGAAACCTTTCTCGGACATCAATGAGATGAGGAGATGTGAAAAGTCCAGTGTGAAAGCCACAATTACGTAGGATAGATTCCGTGAAGGTGCACGTGGATCCCTTTGCCACCCAGAAAAACAAAATCATTCAGACTCAAAACACAGACACAAACAATCCTGACTCTATACTGCCTACATGAAGTACTTTCAAAAATATAAAGCGATTTACAGAACCTAAGTCCAGGCACAATTAAGTTCATAAATCAGTGATCGACTTTAGAAATAAACTCTAAACAAGAAAATTTAAAATCATATTTTATAAATTGAAGCCAGCATTGGTTGACAGAAATTTAGTACTGCTACCTTTCCTTTAGTGCCGGCCACGTGTATGATCTTCATCTCTGATATTGCCTCCTCTAATTCCAGAATCTTAATTGATGATGATAATAAAAACACGCAATTCTATCAGAATATACATCAGCTGAAGTTTAAATATATATGAAAATTAATATAAATTTTCACTGATGACGCATGATTACTTTTAAATAATCGAAAAGCAAATCAAAACGATCTCCTTTGTTGCTCTCATCAGCACGACTGCGTTTCGCTGTCAACGAAGATAAAGCATCCAGTGCTTCCTCATATGGAGTCACCGTTGGTTTTGACGATCCATTTTTGCAATCTGTGAGCAACAGTTAGCGAGAACTGAATCCATGATAATAACTGCATAAGCAAATTAATACGCACTCTCGAGGTTACCTTCCGCCATCTCGCTTTGGCTCTGGAAAAAACTGGATTCAGTAGAGAGTGTTCGAATAGTGTATACAGAGAGATATGTAAAAACAATAAATATATATATATATATATATATAGGGAAGGGCCTGAGGAGAGAGGAGATTGGCGGCGTTGAAAGCAAGCGAGGGGGGGTGAAGTTAGTGAGCGGGTGATTTTTTTTCTTTTTCTTTCTTTTTTATATATTCTAGTCTTCGTTGGGGCGATTAGCGAAGAAAGATGCTGGGGGTGGGGATCGGAAGGGGGAGGTTGAATGCTAAAAACGACAGGGAATTTCAGATCGGGTTCGTACCCAACGACTAGGGGGGTATTTTTGGTAAGGCAACAGTAGAGATGAGTGCAGGATCTTTGGACGCATTCATATTGTATTATTGGCTCCATTCATATCTTTTAGGTATCCCTTACCTTGTCTGTCTTCTATACCTGCAATGGAATTATAACAAAACCCATTGATGATGAGAAGTGAACAGTTTGCTTGCACTTGACGTGAGTGAAGTGGGCGACTCGACACATCGACCCTTCAATCAATTAACAAAAACCGAAAGAAGACCAGACAATCAATGTGACTTTCGAGGAGGAACACTATTTTTCTTTTTTTCATTACTTTAGTTTTTTTCACTTTGATCCCTTGATTTTTCTTTACTCTTATTTGGTCCTTTAATATAATTTTGATTTGTGATTAATATTGGTAATTTGTATTTCATGGCCGCTCATGGGAATCTCGAGATGTAGGTAAATGCTCTGACATGTTTGATTTGGCTAAAAAAATTATAAATTTAAAATAATTAGAGCTTTGAGGATCAAATTTAAATCTTGAAGAAATGTTATTTCCCTTTTCACAACATCAAGGGTTAGTTTTAACGGTCAAGTAGAAGTTCATGTAATTTTTTTAATTCAGATCCCTCAACTTTTTTAAAAAATTGATCTTTTATGATTGGTTTTTTTTTTTTTGAAATCTTACTTAGCAGTTTATTCTCATTGTCTTACTGTGGGGATCTTGCAATATCGGGGGGGGGGGGGGGGC